CCTTGAACAGCTAATGTGATGGATCCCAGTAGTACTCTGGGTCTTTGACCTCATAACACTCCTGCCAGCTCCCCACTATAAATTCTTTCATGGATTGCTCCCTTGGTCAAAATAATCTCCCCAGTCCAGTTGTCTTTATTAAACTTCTTATTCACTTTGAAAAGATTGTTAGTTTTATACCCAATTTCATGTTTTCAGGGAATTAAACTGGACCTTGTTGACAACGTGATGTATTTTATACCTTTCTAAGCTATTCTCTAAACTAAAAATTATTTTGGGATCTTTCCTAGGACACTGGGCCAATTTAAAACAGCCTCAGATTTTGAGTTTTCATCAACTGTAATAAGGGGAAAGAACCCCAGAGGTACATTATATAATTTAGACCTTTTTTGAAATGGTCAATGGAGCTTTAAAAAAAAAAAAAGCCTGCCCTGGCCGGTTTGGCTCAGCGGTTAGAGGGTCGGCCTGCGGTACAGAGAGACCCGGGTTCGGTTCCCGCTAAGGGCATGTACCTCGGTTGCAGTTTGTCCCCGGCCCTGGTTGGTCGTGCGGGTGGCAGCCACTCGATGTGTCCCTTCATGTCGATGTTTCTCTCTCTCCCTCCCACTCTTATCTGTACAAAAAATGGAAAAATATCCTCGGGTGAGGATAAAAAAAAAAAAAAAAAGCCTTGTTATATTTATGTAAGTTGTACTCCAAAAGAGGCTGTCCTTAATACTATCATTGAAAAGATAAGAGAGCTAGATAATTTGTGTGTAATGCCACTCTGAATAGGAGCCTATACCCTTCTATTGTAAGGCATGTTGGAGCCAAAATCAAATAATGGGAAGAATCAAGAGTAGAAATCTCATCATAAGTTGGTGTGAAGAAAATGACTTATAAAAACAGTCATATTTTAGCTATTTGTCTTCTGCTTTGGGGACATCCACACTTGATCCGTCTTTTGGTTTTTATATTTGTTTTTGTTTCTCTGAATTATACACAAAAATATCTGAAGAGTATTTCTTTTAGTTTATATTAATTCTACCTCTGTATTCTAACTCTTAATAGCCCCCTATTCTGAAAAATGACAAAACAGACTGGTTCTGATAATGGTTTATTTGTTGACTATCTTATAGAACAGACGTCTATGGGAAAAGGGTGTGTGTGTGTTTAAAGCAAGGAGTCTGTGAAAATTTTCATACAAAAGGAAGAATATTACAAAGCAACTCTTATTTTGGTTCTTGGGCTCCAGTAGATGTCAGTCTCTCTGTCTTTTGAGAAGGCATGATCATTTCAGGATTACTTTGCCTTTTTAGCTTCTGTAAGTCCACATTTAAACTCCTACATTTTCTGTAATTGATTTGTTTGAACCTATAACCATCAACAGTATTTCACATAGAGAAATGCAAAATCTACGTTATCAAAATGATAAAAATAGCATGGATATAAAATATAGGTGATCTGACAATGTTGCTTAAATAATTTTGATAAAGGCCCTAAGCTGTTTTTCTCTTAATGTGGTCATACTGATATTACAGGTTGATGAGTGCTTTGTCCTTAATTTCAGTAGATGGAAAAACAAAAGGATAAAATTCACTTGTAAAAGTTGCAGGGAGCTGTAGAAGATTAATTTTTTTTTACACATTGTATAAAATGCTGTTCAATACTCATTAATTTTCTCTTACAATTTATTTTGGGTAGAAGGTAAAGAGAATAAAATATTCAAGCATGCCTTCTTGTTGCTCTTAATCCAAATTGTCTTGTTATCTTGTTCCAGTTTTGGATATTTTAGAGTACACGTTCATGGATTTGAAGAATGCCGTACTTGAATAACAGTTAAAAACCAACTTCTAAGCATTTCATACTTTTGGTCCCTGTGATGTCTAGGAGAATTTTAAGTGGAGACATGCTCTCTACTAAAGTGACCACTAGTTCTTGAATAAACAGTATTTTAACTTTTGTTTAGTAGCACTAAAGATTCTAGTATCCAAAATTTCACTTTATTTGCTGTTAAAAACAAGCCACCATCCTCACTTCCACTCTCAGATGTGAGTATCTTACCTTAAGCATGTGAACATGAAGGGGGGGGGGGGACAGAGACAAGTCTGATCCACAGGTTCTGTTTCTTTCCTCTCTGCTCAGTTCCACTTCCATCCAGTTGTCATCCCTGTGGTGCCCACAGTGTTGGAGTCCATTCTCTGTCCTGAGAACACTCTGCTTCTGACTGGTTTCTTCCTCTAAATTCAGTCTCAGTTACTACTATTCTTCTGTCTTTCTCAACACTGTTGTTTTGAACGTGTTAATTCTACATTTGAGATTTCTGTATTTTACCCAGATTATTATATATATATTTTATCCTCGTCCGAGGACATTTTTCCATTTTTTGTTCAGATAGAGTGGAAAGGAGAGAGAGAGAGAAACACCAATGTGAGAGGGACACATTGAGTGGCTGCCACCCACACAACCAACCAGGGCCGGGGACAAATTGCAACTGAGGCACATGTCCTTAGTGGGAACTGAACCCAGGTCTCTCTGGACCGCAGGCCGACGCTCTAACCGTTGAGCCAAACCAGCCAGGGCCGAGATTATTCTTAAGACTAGAATTCTGTCATTACCACTATCCTACCTATCCACAGTTCCCCTAGTTCTTTTCACTAAGTAGTTTTTAAGAAATCATTATTGTATTCAGTTTTTTTTTTTTTTTTTTTTTAATCTTCATCCGAGGACATTTTTGTACAGACAGAGTGGGAGGGAGAGAGAGGAAGAGAGAGAGAGGGAAACATCGATGTGAAAGGGACACATCGAGTGGCTGCCACCCGCACAACCAACCAGGGCCGGGGACAAACTGCAACCGAGGTATGTGCGTGCCCTTAGCGGAAACCAAACCCGGGTCTCTCCGGACCACAGGCGGACGCTCTAACCGCTGACCCAAACCGGCCAGGGTGTATTCAGTTTGTTAAAGACAAAAAGTTATCAAGAATATAGTTGAGGCATAATAAATATTTGACATACTAATATTAAATAATTACTCTATATAAATATCCCCCCTCCCAAAGCTTCAGTAAATCATCCATCCCTTCTTATGGGTATAAGAAAGTGGTAATGCAACACATTTCCTATCCCACTCATATTCCAAATAAAATTAATAAAGGTAGTTACCAGGCAATAAACTAGTACATTCTTATTGTTCGATAACGTTACAGCTAAAAAACAATTTGGAAGCATCCTCTGTGTATGGTAATTCAATTAACAGGGCATGAACAAAGTTAGATATAAAGAAAAACACCTGAATTCAGTGCATAATAACAAAAGCTAAGAATCCAAGAATTCCCCCATTCAGAACATAGGTAAAATTATCACAGCTCTCAAGCAAAAATAAAATACCAATATCCAGTTAAAGGAAAACGAAAATAGACTTTAATGTTAGTATATTACAGGATTAGATTTGATTACATAGAAGCCCAAAATTATGGTGACTTCAACAAGGTGGGAGTTTATTTTTCTCTCAATGTAGTTTATTTCTTTTTCAAGTAAAACATGGCCAAAGTGGATAGTCTGGAGCTGACAGTGGCTCCACAGTGTCCTCAGGGTCCCAACCAGGCTTGCTGCCACTCTTAGCATTGGCTTCCATATCAAGGTTAGCTTCTGGCCCTTTATGACTCTCAAACTCAATCATCACCTTGCACACTCATTGCTCTCCAGAGAAGAAGGGGTGAGGCTAGAGATGAGAGGACTTTTTCGTGGAGGCATCTCCCTTTAAGCAGCCTTCCTAGATGGATGACTCACAGTGGTCTGCCTACATATTGTTAGCCAAAACTCAGTCACATGAAACTGAGAGAAGCTGGGAAGTTTCTTTTTTTAGTCCTCATCTGAGGATATTTTTCCATTGATTTTAAGATAGAGTGGGAGGGAAGGAGGGAGGCTGAGAAGAGATACATTGACTGGTTGCCTCCTGCACTACACTGACCAGGGCAAGGGAACTACAACCAAGGCACGTGCCCTTGACCGGAATCAAACCCCGAGGCTCTGGTCCACAGGCCAATGCTCTTAACTGCTGAGCCAAACTGGCCAGGGTCTGGGATGTGTTAATTAACTTGATTATGGTGATTATTTAAAAATGTATACACATCAAATCATCTTAAATATGTACACTATTTAGTTGTCGATTATATCTCAATAAAGCTGGAAGAAGAAAAAGAGGAAAAGGTGGCCTGGCCAGTGTGGCTCAGTTGGTTGCGGGTTCCATTCAGGTCGGAGCATATACAGAAGGCAACCAGTCATCTCTTTCTGAAATCAGTAAGCATGAAAGGAAAAGGGCTTAGAGGCCAGGAAAACCTAATTATATAAAATAGGAAGAAATGGATAAGCATATAAATTGACAGTGCAAAAGAAATCTGAATTTTATTCTCAACCCCAACAGACTTCCATTTGGAGCTGTGGAGCAGTGCACATTAAATGTTTACACCCAAGTGGTTACTTAGTTACCATGTAGTTACTGAATGGGTTTAACTGTAATGCCCCTTTTCAGTTTCTGATGCTGTATTTAGCCCATATTATTGCAATTTGATGTATTTCTATCATACATAAGAAATACTGACATTGAAATGTAGAAGCCAAGACTCTGGGGAAGGGCTAATGCATTACTGATTTGATTTTGTTAAATACAACTAGTAACAAATAAAACTCTTTTTAAAGAGTATTAAAATGTGTCTTCACTTAGTTAAAAGCAAAACATTAATTAGCAAAAACATTGTTGGAATCTGTGATGTCTCATGCATATTATCTAGAGCTTCAGAAGAATGATGGCAACAAGAAACCCATGCCTGGTATGTGTCCACATTAGGTTCACAAATACTTTGTTGTTTTGAAACATACAGAAGGGGATCTATGTAAGGTCAGCCGGAAAAGTGGTTCTCAGATGTTCTGTTGTGGTATTTTCTGATTAATTGGCAGTTTTTTTGTTTGTTTGGTTTTTTTTAACAAAGCTTGTGACAGCCAACCTTCTCTCTTCCTTGCAGAACAGAGGTCCGGTCAAGGCAACCCTTTCAGGATGACCTTCCTTTCTTTGAGAAGCCCCCAAGCAGGCAGTTTTCCTTACCAAACCTGTCTCCGGAAGAGCCTCCACTGAAGACAACACTGGCCAACGAGGAAGCACTACAGAAGATCTGTGCTCTTGAAAATGAGCTTGCTGCGCTCAGAGCTCAGATTGCCAAAATTGTGACCCTGCAAGAACAGCCAAATCTCACTGCAGGTCTGTAAGTCCTACATCTGTTTTAACCAGCACACTGGAAATCAGAAGAATGTCACTAATTTAAAAATTTATTGGCAAGTAACAGCCATAAACCAAGAGTCAGTCCTCTGCATAGTCTAGTACAGATCCCAGTTAAGTTTAAGTGGTTTTTGCTTGTTTTAAACAATCTTGGAGCTTTCAGAGAGGATGATGAGTGGACATACTTGGAAAACACAAATTCCTGCACTTGATTTACTACCTAGGTGAGTGCTATGGGAACTTAATGGCACCCAATCCTATCAGACATGAGATCATCTCAAAACAACCACAGCGGGGTTGACTGCTATTTACTTAACCTGGAAGTCCTGAGGCAAGTACTTGGCCTTTCTATTTCCATTTCCTGCTCTAAAATGGGACTAACAGGACCTATGTTGTGGCATTATCATGGGAGAAAATGTGGAAGTGATATAAAATACCGTTAGCACACAGTACTTATTTAATAGTCATTTTCTGTTGCCCAGAGTAGAAACTGAATTCAGGTCCTCTAGCTCCTGATCTAATACTGCTGTTGCTTTTATTTGTGTGGCACTATTACTTTGGAGAAGTTGCCATAGCCTTGAAATCCTAGTCCATTAACCTGCTGGCAAGTAGTAGTTGTTTTTCCTAGTATTGTTCCTGAGTCCTTGCTAGACTCAGGATTAAGCAATTCTGTCTAAAGGATAAGGACAGTTACTCTGCCTCTGACCCACTTTGCTTGTGCTCCTGGAGTTTAATGTAATCCAACATGTAAATCTCATCCGACCTGGATATGGCCAAGGTGGACAGAGGGCAAATGCCCTCTGGGCACCCAGTGCTTGACTAATCAGTGTTAAATGAAATTTGCATGTAACTTTAAAAACCAAACATCTGCCCTGGCTGGTTTGGCTCAGCAGTTAGAGCGTCAGCCTGTGGAGCACGTACCTCAGTTCAACCCCGGCCCTGATTGGGTCGTGCAGGAGGCAACTAGTCGGTATGTCCCTCTCACGTCCTTGATGTTTCTCTCCCTCCCTCCTTCCCACTCTATTTGATGATAAATAGAAAAATATCCTCGGGTGAGGATTTAAAAAAAAAAAAAAAAAAAATCTTGCACTTTTTCTAACTTTAAGTTGCAGTTCTCTTTTGCTTTACCTCCCTCTCCTGGCAGACCAGGAAAAGTACCATAAATATTGAGGTAATTGGGGGATTTATGGTTGTTGTGCTGTTATAATTAAAATCCTTGAGTAAAACTTTTTGCATCTTCTAATCAATACAGTTCACCCAACAGAAAACTTTCTAACCTCCAATTATACAGAAAGATGAATTTTTTAGGTATTATATAACCACTGTAATTCTTAATTTCCAAAACAAAAAATTTAAGATAACACTGTTTTTTTCTTCTTAGAAATTTGTTCAGTTCATCTAAATTTTTCAAATACATTCTAGTCAATGCAGGTGTGTTCTTAGAAAATCTTGTATGTGAATATACTTAAAATAAATCACAAATTTATCCAGTAGTTTTTTAAAAGTTATCATAGTATTAATTATCTAACTATATAATGAAGCTAGTTATTTATGCAGTACAGACTACTTGATATTTCATCTAAAAGTTCTCACAGACTGTACCACGGTCAGGCTTGAACATTTGATATCACAAAAACACTCCTGTTAAGTGGAACTTTTCCATCTGGAGAGTTTGGGATTAAATGATACAGTGACTGAGATTCAGGCATTTAGATTTCGAACCAAGTAATCGAAACTTCCTTTTTACTTACATAACTGAGATTCTTTTTAAGGATGTTGTTTTCAGATATACAGAAGTCCTTAACATGATTTAAAAATGTTGCCTGTTACTGTCAGGATTAAAATTGCTTTTTCCTATTTCTGTAGGTGATTTAGATTCTAGCAAGTCTGTTACCACTGCACCACCCTCTGTCCCACCACCGCCCCCTCCGCCACCTCTCCCTCCACCAGTGCTCCACCAAAGTACATCGACCATTGATCTCATCAGAGAACGGAGAGAGAGAAAAGCTGGTACTGGGAAGATGTTGGATAAGCACAGCCCAAAGAAACCTGATATGCCAAACATGCTAGAGATCCTTAAAGATATGAACAGTGTAAAACTTCGTTCAGTAAAAAGGTGAGGATACATTTACCTTCTTCTCACTTCCCTCATTTTTTAATGTCTTGTAAAACAAAGTACTGGGCTTCTTGAGAATTTTGCTTTATAACATGATTACCATGAATAGTTCAAGTTTTTAATTTACAAAAGATGGGCCCCGGTGGCTCCTATGCACAATTAACTAAGAAATTAGCAAAATAAACCTTTCATGTAAAGTCTTCATTCCCTCAATAAAACCTGTTGTGTACCCACTATGGTAGTCAGTTACTAGGCTTCTGGAGAAGAATGGAACCATATTTGCCCTGGAAGAACATAATCAGTGCTCTTAAGTTGAGCTAAGTGGCTATTCATTGGGCACCTTTGTGCTCTTTTATTGAGCAAATCTAGGGCTTCCATCTCAGTGCTGCAGTGTCTTCCTTGCATATATGTGGTGCTAGAGAAGTGTTGTCGGGCATGGAAAGGCACACAAAGCACTTCCCACTGGGATGCGGCACAGTGAAATGTCCCCTTGGTTTCTGTTCACTTCTCTAAGGTCAGAACAAGATGCAAAGCCCAAACCTGTGGATGCTACTGACCCTGCTGCCCTCATAGCAGAGGCTCTGAAAAAGAAATTTGCTTACCGGTATCGAAGTGATAGCCAAGGTGAGGCTGACAAAGGAATTCCCAAGTCTGCATCAGAGGCCGCATCAGAAACAGTGTTGGTGAGTATTAGGTCAGGCCTCTTCCCTAGCACAACTTAGTAGTTCACGCCATTGCTGGACACCTACACTTCGCAAGCTAGTCAGCTGTGTCCTCTGCAAGACTAAAATGGATTTGGTCCTTCTACACAAGCAGATAACTTACAGAAGAGCATAAAGAAGGAAGCAAAAGTTTAACCCCTGGTTTCACTGCTTAATATTTCCAATAGTAAATTTTTCATGCTGTGTTTTATTTATATTTAAGCATAATAATTTATATCTTAGTACTATATATTGTGCTGAAGAAATTCAGAGTGAAAAAAGATCATTTTCTCTTAGGGCACCCTTTGAAAGTCTTCCGAAGAGGTTGGGCCTCGCAGGATGTGTGCCAGATCATAGGTGGAGATAGGAGCTTCCTTTTATTCAAGTTGCTGTCATGGGAGACATGTGCTTATCTATTCCAGAGAGACAGATATCTTAGAAATTCTAGCATCTGTGAAAGCCTTTATAGACATTGAAAAGGAAACTTTGTGGTGCTTCCTTCTTTTACTCACAGAAGTAAAACTGGACTAAGCTAGATCTTCCTAAGGTGATTGCACTTTTCTAGGAAGCAGTGTGATCACCTCTTTTCCTTTTATTCTGTTGATGTGTCATGTTTATAACAAACTATCAGTTCATAAAGGTTTTAATATGAACTGGCTGTTTGGTTTTCATATAGAACATACCAGCCTTTTGATCCATGATTGGGAAGGGGATATATCATTACTGTTATATGAACCAATATCTTTATACTTTTTGTTTCTTTTCTAGTTTGGGCCACACATGCTGAAGTCTACAGGAAAAATGAAGGCTTTAATTGAAAATGTTTCAAATTCCTGAGAAACCTGGTTCAGCTGTTAGTGCTGTTTGGCTAGTAGAAATCAACACTGTTTAGTAAATACCTGAATTTAATATTCTGTAGTCTTAATATTCAGTAGTCGCCTTTTAAATCAAACTAGAGGATTAAGCAGTAGCGAAAGCACTCTTTGTGTTTGCTTACATCAGAAGGTCAGTTCTGAAGTTTTCCAGAACATACTTATTCTGACATGTTTTTAATGTATAGGCAGGATGTTTAGGTTTCCAGTTCTGAAAACAATGATGTGGATTCAGAAGGAAGAACGAACATTTGTAGATGAGCGTTTTAAATTCTTAACACTAATTTATCTATACAAGTGTTGCGTATGCATATATTTGGATATAAGGCAGTCTGTGTAAAACATATACTGAGGGTGCTACTGTTTGTTTTCAGCAATCATTTACTAGTCATTGACAAAAAGCTGGCATAACCCAGTTTCTTGAAATGAAACATTGTTGGAATGAGATTGAAATCTTCTTACCTCAAACAGAACCTTTTCTTATCTTAGACTTTCTCTCACATTTTCTTATAGATGGAGTTTGAGTAGGGACTGGATAGTCCCTACTCAATGCTCGCTGCTGAAATTTCATAATGCTTTCCTTTAAAAAGGGAAGTCACCTCAATGCCAATCCATTCTGAGGAAGAAAATATAGTTTTCAAATAGGAAGGAATCAAAGTCTTGAATTAAATCTCTTTTTAAGTAAATCCCAGAATGTTCCATCTTTTTCTTTCATTTTAATAAATGGCATCATAAAAACAACTTGTTGCTAAGTTAATACTTCTGGAGATTGTTGACATAATGGAGCTGAACATTTTTAATATTGGTCAAAATAGTAGCTTTAAAAATGGAACACTGAATAGGTGAAAAATTTTCCTATAAGGTATACATCATTGGTCAGAATGCTGTTCTGCTGAATTACATTATGCAACATAAACCTTAGCTGTTATCAGAAAACGGAGAGCTGCCTTTCTCATCTAGGGCTTCTAATGAATTGCTACAAGTGATAATTTTTCAATACTTGATAAATCTTCATGATTTTCTTTATTTCTGTTAATCTCCGCCATAGATAATGCCAGAGTCTCCTACCATGAGTGAATAGTTGCATTTATCGTTTATAAATAATATTTTTAAGTTGTATTTCCTCTAGGGAGTGGGAGATGAGAAGAGTAGATAGACCTTAACTTTTAAGTTATTGAAAATGTGTGCAATGTTCTAGATGTTAGCAAATATTAGTTGAGGTAATTTATATGGGTTGGTTATTCAGCTTAAACTTGAATGTGGCTTATTTTACACATGCTGTTGATGTACATTGTTTCTAATTGTTTTATATGGTTTAAAATTTCTGCCTTTAAAGCTAGTTCATAAAGTTCACCTGACACATGTATTTTGACCTCCTAAGAAATTATACATTTGTTACCAGTATTGAATTTTGGCCAGTGCTTCAATATAAGGAAGTCACTGTTTTGAAATAAAACTTTTATTTTCCTTGGACCATAAAGCCTATATACATGTTTTCTTTCTTTTTTATGATAGGTAAGAAGCTACATGTGCAATATTAAAGAATCTTAAGAGGAATTTGCTTTCTACATTTTTCAAGTGGAAATTTACTTCTTAAAATTGTCTCATTCACCTTTCTCTTAAAGGGATTCCAGCATTAAAACAGAAGGGCAGCCCGACCAGTGTGGCTCAGTGGATTGAGCATCCTTCCATGGACAGAGAGGTCCCAGTTCAATTCCTAGTCAGGGCACATGCCCGGGTTGTGGGCTCAGTCCCCAGTAGGGGGCGTGCAGAAGGCAGCCGATCAGTGTTTCTAACTCTCTCTAAAAAACCATTAAAACATTAAAAAAAACAAACAAACAGAAGGGCAGTCACTTGGGATGACTTTAAGCATTCAAGCCTATAATATACCTCTGGAATTGGTGAAATCTTTTTCTGTCTCCCCCCACACCCATCTCATTGAGTTTCTGGTTTTCTCTTTCAACACACTGAAAAAATCTTAAAAACAGTGTAATTCTGCATCTTATAGCTGAGGCTTAAAAAGTTAACTACCTGGACTTCGGTCATGATGGCAGCATAGGTAAACTCAGTGTCACCTCTTCCCACAACCACATCAAAATTACAACTTAACTACAGAACAACCATCATTCAGAACCACCTGACATTGAGCTGAATGGAAGTCCTACAATTACGAAATTAAGCAGCCACACCTAGACTAGTAGGAGGGGTGGAGGCGTGGGGGGGCTGGTCCCACACCCACCTGTGGCAGATAAAAATCAGGAGAATACCTCAGCTTTATAGGTCGTCCCACACCAGGCTCTCAGTTCAGGGTTCCAGTGCCAGGAAGAAAAGTCCCCATAACTTCTGGCTGGAAAAACCAGCAGGAACTGAGGGAGGCTGAGGCTGCTGGAGCCCCAGGCAGCTCCTCTTAAAGGGCACACATACGACTTACTCACTTGGACTTGCTCCCTCTAAGCTCAGAGGGGAGGCAGAGACATACAGGGAAGAACTAAGCTGTATGGCCTCCGGACAAGGGCTAGAGAGGCGGCTTTCTCCTGGCCAGACGTGCTGGTGGAGGCCTGTGTTCCTTTGGTGAGCCCTTCCCTGGGGCAGCAGACAGCCGCCATATCTGGAATTCCAGCAACCCAACTCATACTGTTTGCCCTGCCCTGGTGATTCCTTAGGGCATGCCCCACCCAACTTCCGGGTCTACCCAAGCTGTTTCCAAAGACTTTACCATAGGATTGGCCTGTCTTGGATCCTGCTTCAGAGTTTCCTAAAATCTCTCAAACAGATCTCAGGTCTCAGTGAGCCCCATACCTCTTAAGTGGCCTCAGGCCTGGCACTAGAAGTAACCAGCCTTGGTTCACAACTTGGCTTTCCTGGGCACCTCCAAGCCCAGCACAGGAAGCAGCCATCTGCAAAACACTTTGTAGTTTATGCCGGGTGGCCCCAGATAGAACACAGAAGTGGCTAACCTTGCCCCAGAGGCAGCACACCCAGTGGACAGCTTCAGACCACATCAAAACACTACCACCCAACCACCTCCACAAGTGACACACACAATGAGCGGACTCTGGGTGCCAGAGCCCTGATCAAGTAAGTCTCGCTGTGTGTGGTGGACCCCTACACAGCTGATCCGCCAAGGTAGTCAGGCCAGTGGTTGTGGGCACAGCCAGTCCTGGTAGCTGATCAGCCTGAGTAAATCCCTCCCATTGACATGCCAGCAGCAATCAAGACTCAATTACAACTGAAGGGTGTACAATCCATACTAGGGGTGCACCTCGAGAACCCAGCTGGGGTGATCAGAGAGGCTGTGTCACTGGATCCTACAGGACACCTACAACAATAGGCCACACTACAGAGCCTAGGAGACATTAGCAACTCTAATACATAGAAACAATCGCAGGGAAACAGCCAAAATGAGAAGACAAGCATGTCCCAAATGAAAGAAAACAAAATTCCAGGAAAAGAATTAAAATGGAGATAAGCAATCAGATGCAGGGTTCAAAACACAGATTAGAAGGAACTTAGTGAGACCTCCAAGAAACTTAGTGAGAACATGAACAACATAAAAAATGAGCAGTCGGAAATGAAAGGCTGCACTGGCTGAAATAAAGAATAATTTACAAGGAATCAATAGTAGAGTAGATAAAGCCAAGAAGTAAACCATCGATTTGGAATATAAGGAAGCAAAAAACACCCAATCAGAACAACAAAGAAAAAAGAATCCAAAAAAATGAGGATAGTGTAAGGAGCCTATGGGACAACTTCAAGCGTGCCAACATTCACATCTTGGAGGAGCCAGAAGGAGGGGGAAGAGAGAGAACAAGAAATTGAAAATCTATTTGAAACAATAATGACAGAAAACTTCCTTAATTTGGTGAAGGAAACAGACATTCAAGTCCAGAAAGCACAGAGTCGCAAACAAGATGAACCCAAAGAGGTCCATACCAAGACACATCATCAAAATGCCAAAGGTTAAAGTCAGAGAGAGAATCTTAAAAGCAGCAAGAGAAAAGCAGTTTGTTACCTACAATGGATCTCCCATAAGACTGTCAGCTGATTTGTCAAAAGAAACTATGCAGGCCAGAAAGGAGTGGCAAGCGATATTCAAGGTGATGAAAAGCAATGACCTACAACCAAGATTACTGTATCCTACAAAGCTGTCATTTAGAATAGATGGCCATACCAGGAGTTTCCCAGACAAGAAAAAGCTAAAGGAGTTCATCACCATCAAACCAGTATTATATGAAATGTTGAAGGGTCTTCTTGAAGTAGGAGAACAAAAATATGAATAAAATAGCCCTGGCCGGTTTGGCCGGTTCGGCCTGCGGTCCTGAGAGACCCGGGTTCGGTTCCCGCTAAGGGCACGTACCTCGGTTGCAGTTTGTCCCCGGCCCTGGTTGGTTGTGCGGGTGGCAGCCACTCGATGTGTTCCTTTCACATCGATGTTTCTCTCTCTCTCTGTTCCTCTCTCTCCCTCCCACTCTACCTGAACAAAAAATGGAAAAATGTCCTCGGGTGAGGATAAAAAAAAAAAATATATATATATATATATATATATATGAATAAAATAGCAATTAATACATATCTATCAACAATTGAATCTACAAACAAAATGAGCAAGCAGAACAGAAACAGACTCATGGATACAGAGAACTTTTTGTTGCTTGCCTGATGGGTGGGGGATGGGTGGATGGGTGAAAAAGATGAAGGGATTAAGAAGTACAAATTTGTCGTTAGACTGATGAACCTCAAAGGGAAGGGGGGAGGGATGGTAGGATGAGATAAACCAAAGAACTTCTATGCATATATGCATAACCAATGGACACCAACAATAGTGTGGAGAAAGCAGGAGTGGGGCGGGATTGGGGAGGAGGGCGTCAATGGAGAGAAAAAGGGGGGAACATCTGAATACATTAAAAAATAGATGAGTTTAAAAAAATTTTAAGTACCTGATACAATGTTTACTATAATTCTGACTAGTCCAGGGACTTGCTATATATAATAGTATGAGTCAGAGAACACTGGACTTGGAGTTAATGTGATCCGTGTATGTGATCCTGGCCAAGTCACACCTCTGTTTTATTTGTTAATTCTTACCTGACAATATTTTTTCCATTGGTTTTTAGAGAGAGTGGGGGGTGGGGATGAGAAACATTGATTGGTTGCCTCCTGCATTCGCCCTGACCCAGGTGTCAGGGATCAAACCTGTAAACCAAGTACACGCCCTTGACCAGGAATCAAACCCCGGACCCCCACGTGGGTGGGCTGATGCTCTAACCCTGAGCCACACTGGCCAGGGCACACCTGTTTTTATATTGAGAATGCTCAGCAATGCCCTGGCCGGTTTTGCTCAGCAGTTAGCGCGTTGGCCTGTGGACCAGAGAGTCCCGGGTTCGATTCCCGCTAAGGGCATGTACCTCCCTAAGTTTGTCCCCAGCCTCAGTTGGGGTCGTGTGAGTGTCGACCACTCGATGTGTCTCTCTCTCCCCCCCTTTCTCCTTCCCGGTCTATCTGAAGATAAAAGCAAAAATGTCGTCGGTTGAGGATTAAAAAAAGAAAAAAGAATGCTCAGCTCAAAAAATTATTGAGGATTAAATGAAATAATGATTTTGAACACATTCTATAAACAGTAAGTAGGGTCTAAATAAGTTATTACTTACATCACTTTTATACAAGGCTACTGTAGTTTCCAGTAGACTGATTGCTCCTATGTGTGATTGGTCCCCGACACCTGCACAGGCTTGGGGTGAAGCAGCAGGACTTACAGTCTTGGTTCTGGTTGTCTCCACAGGCTCTTCTATGGAAGAATCCTGTCCTCTCAATGTATTAAGAATTCCTGCCTGGCCAGTGTGCTCAGTGGTTGAGCATCGACCCAGGCACCAAGAGATTGCCAGTTCAATTCCCAGTCAGGGCACATGCCCAGTCTGTGGGCCAAATCCCAAGTGGGGGGCATGCAGGAGGTAGCCAATCGATGTTCTCTCTCATCGATGTTTCTCTCTCTCTCTCCCTCTCTAAAATCAATGAAGAAAGAAAAAAAAATTTCTCTGAGTCTTAAGTTGTAAAGAAGACAACATGAGGTAACAACTACCAAAAACAAATACTTGAGAAAAACTGTCCTGCTGATAACTTACCCCAAAATAGACATTCTTTCTGGAATAGAATCTGGCCAATGGAAGCTTGAACTTCTAGGAGTTAACCCAATAAAATCAGCTCTGGGATTGTCAAGCAGAACAAGACACTTGGTTTAATGACAATGTCAGTTATATTGCCATAGTATTTCTCACGAGTTTTCAACCATTCCTGAATACTTTTGCCTTCTCATTCTAGAGATTCTAAATTTTTCTGAGCTACCCCACCAAATCTATTTCTTAAATTTTTTTTTTTATCCTCAAGGTTTTATTGTCACATAATAAAATATGAAGCTTAGAACTGGATAACTTGGCCCTTTCCCTTCCTATCTCCTCCCAGTTCAAGATGTTCGCATCTCTTAATAGCCCACATTCTCTCAGATCTGCAGTTGGGCTCAACCTATTCAAGCCTCATTGTAGTTATAGCCTTTCTGAGTGAAATCGGCTTAGTCTGCCCACCGTAGCCACTCTGCTTCCTGTAGTAACACCACCTTCCCTGCGCGCACACAGGACCCTTGTCTTTCTTGTACTGTGTTACTTCATGGGGTTGAT